CTACACATGCTTCAGAGACCGTCACTGGGCACCCCTGCCATTTATAATGGTGATGGGACTAGTTCTCGAAATGGATCCTAAAGCAAGGGCCATCTCAGTGTTGCAGTAGAGGTCATCTTTGAAATGACCTGCAAACCATCTTTTAGGAAGCACAACCAACCTTTCTTTCGGTTTTTCTCAATTCCAGAAATGCTTGATCTTCTTTATTCCCAGGAAGTTAACATTTCATTAGCAATAGGCTCTATACTTCTTAACCTTTCAGCCTCATCGAAGAGTCAATGGTGTAAAAGCAAATGCATAAATTCACCAGGGGGATCCCCAGGATTTGAATAATTTTGAATAGGAAAGACTTTGGTAATGAGAATATTTTTCCACTCCTCCATACTATGCAGCCATGGGGTAGGGGGTGGGGAGAAACACAATGTTTTTACTTGGTGTGTAATGTATAAGCTTGTTTTACATGATAGTCAGTTCCTTTGCACTCAGTTTAAAAAAGAGCAGCAATGCCCTGCAAACGTGGCTCAGTGGTTAAATGTCGAACCATGAACCTTGGTCAGCAGTTCTATCCTGGTTAGGGCACATGCCCGAGTTGTGGGCTCAATCACCGGTAGGCAGCTGGTCAAAAATCTCAAAAATGGTGCCACTCAAATCAATGATTCTCTTTCATCATTGGTGTATCTGTACCTATCTCTTAACTCTCTGAAATCAATGAAAATATATTTTAAAATGAATAAATTAATAAACAAATAAATAAATAAACTGAACAGCATTAGATGGGTACCTGTCACTGGCCCTCTGTGGTTGGGGAAGGAATGAAGAGGGAGGAATAGAACTCATTCTGGTTTTAGTAGCTGTGCTTATAGTGTCCCTACTCCATATTCCATTACTTTTTTTGGGGGGGTGGGGAAGAGGAAGCTTTCTATAATAGTAAAATTTACATTCCATCTTTTGCCTAAAACTATCTTTAGCCTCATTTTTTTCTTTTCAGAGCTCGGCACAGCTCTTCCTCCCCCCACCCTCCCTTCTCACGGATATTGCAGTTGGCCTTGGGCATGGCAGGGCTTCCCTTTTGATCTGCAGGTTGTGCCTGCACATTGGAGAGCAGCCTGCTGTTGTTTCAGCACCTGAGCAACAATGCAACCACATCAGGGCCCCTGCAGTTACATCATTGACTCCCTCTGGCAGTTTATCCCCCTGCAAAACGTGAATGCACCCATATCGCTGTCTGCAGCACTTTAATCTAATTAGACCGGTGGTGATAATCCTCTGGGAAAATTGTTATCCCCTCTGTAATCATAAAGTGAAACACCTTTGGTTTTCATTGGGCTGGCAGTGTGTTCTAGAGGTGGACGAGCCGGTACTTCTCTTTGTTGGGGTCTGACCAGAGAAGCCATTGTGAGGATAGGAGGTTTCCTTTGTTTGGGAAATTGGATGTTAGTCTCCTTAAGCTTCTCTTTGTAGGTGTTTCCATCTGAGATAGCCGGATTTGTTTCATTTTTTTTTTTTCTAATTGACGACAGTGTGCTGAATGTTAAGAGCATGGCTAGAGTAATAGATTGCAAAACCAGGACCGTGTGGGTCATCCTAGGGATTAAAAAGAAAAAGAAAGTCAAAGGATTCCAGCTGTATGTTTTATTCTTTTTGGAAAGGAGCTCAGGCACTGGGCTGCATCCTTTCTGGGGTCCCCTGTCCTCTGCTGGTCGCCGAGCCCAGGGCCACAGTCATGTGTAATGACTGTTAGCAAATCACTGGAGGCCCGAGAGGGGCATTTAGCTTCCTCCTGACTGGCCTCTTCATTGAACCTTTTAAAAAGAGCTTCCTGTCTCCCAAGTTTATGGTGTCAAGATATTGCTGAGTGGAAACATCATCGGGAACGAGAGGAATTCAGGGTCCACCATCACTCAGTCTCTGGCCTTCTTTTTATAGGTTTTATCATAAAATAGTACAGATGGCTCAGTGGTTGAGTGTTGGCCCATGAACCAGGAGGTCGGGGTTTGATTCCCAGTCAAGGCACATGCCTGGGTTTCGAGCTCTATCCTCAGGAAAGGGCGTACAGGAGACAGCTGATTGATGATACTCTCTCATCATTGATGTTTCTATCTCTCTCGCTCTCTCTTCCTCTCCTTGAGATCAATAAAAAAAAAAACTAATAAAATAGTACAGTTGTTTCCATCCAGAATTGTGTGGACATGTCGGGGAAGGTGGTGTAAAATGCCAGGGCAAGCACTGAAGTGTGGCCTTCGGTGTAGCAGTGGGGACAGGGGGCCTTGCAGAAGTTCAGACCCTTGGCTGTTACAGAGAAAGCGCAGTGCGATGAAGGCACAGCACTCTGACGATTCAGCAAGTCAGAGCGCACACCTTTTAAAGGTGGCACCCAGCTCAACTCTTTTGTAAGTAGCCAGAGCTAGACTGCCCACAAACAGAAGTAAAATCCTCATGGAGGACTCGGCCTCACCCAGTTTTCCTTGGTAGAGGTGGTGAGGGATGAGGAAGCTGGGATGAGGTGGCCTGTCACTCGTAGGGATTGGATCTCAGAAGTTTCTTGTGCTTTGAAGGGAAAGTCATCATCCTCTGAAATGCTGTCTTCTTTTTTCTCCCACTCATGCCAGCCCATTTAAAAATTCTTTGGCTGCACCAAGTTTTCTTCACCAACAGTTTCACTTCTACAAAAAAACCTAAAAAAACAACAACAAAACACCAGAAAGCTATTTCTGGGAATGAAGTTAACGGTAGATAAGATCTCCAGATATATACTGGACTGAGGGGGAGGGGAGGAGTTACTCTAGGGTTGAAGCATATGGAGCATTTGTTAGAGACTATGTTTGCATTGCTTTCAAAGCCTGTTTTACCTTGAAAAACCCCTGAACAGATTTTTGTATGTTTCCCATGTGGGTTCATGTCTTTCCTCTTTCACCCCAAAACCCCCAAACACGAAAAATATAACTCATCCTTACAGTTGCTCAAATTATGTGTGATGTTTGATCAAGTTCAAGAAAAGTGAAGTTGAAGGTTTCGCCTCTGGGTGACCTTTCTGTATCTTGATTGATACAGAAATTACATTTGGCATGTATGTGTCTGCCCGTAGTTAGCAAATCCACCAGGAAACTTGAGGATGGATGTTTAAACAGAACTATAATATTCCAAATGCCCTATTTGCTGGTAGAGGATGCCTCAGGGAAGGTGTAGCGATCCCCTTTGGATGTCACAAAAACATGTACAGAGTCATTTAAAACTGAAACTCCCTACCACAACCACCAAACTTTCCAGGGTGGGTACGAACAGAAGAAAAACTTGACTTTTGGTTATAGGCCCTGGGGACTCCCCTGCTTCCCTTCGCGTGTTTGATGAAATAGAAAATGTTGGAGAACTGTCTTTCCAAAACATAAACCCCTGAGCTTTACGTTAATCTGTGATTTTTTCTTTCGCTCCCGATTTCTGTTTTCACAAAGGCCTTTGACTGATCTCCCCCCCCCCCCCCCCAACCTATTTTTAGACCCGGTGTGTCCCACTTTGCTTTGCCCAGTTAGACCACAGAAACGAACGGAAGTTATGTTCCGTGTGTATGGCCTGCGAGTCAAACGAGGGGGCATGCAGATCTCAGATGCAAATTGCACCGCTCTCCTGGCCCTCAGCTGCAGGGCTGGTTGACGAGGGTTGGTTTCTTGCCGTTGTTGGCCATGTTTTAGCTTCAAGCAAATAATTATCTTGTCCATCCCATCCAGTTGTTTTAATTGATCTAACGGACACTGCCTGTTTGAATTTAAACAGTGGATCTGCCGAAGCCCCCTCCTTCCCCTTTCCTTGTCTCTTGTGTGTTTTTAGTTAGTTGTTTTCTTAAATGCAAGTGATTCTTTGAATCTCTGAAACAGTTCGGAAGAAAAGGAAATATTGGTTCTAGATAGAAAACGAAGGGACAAGGAGGTAGCTGTTAACGTTACAGAGAACTCCTTGCTCTGAAGAAAAAAAAAAAATTAAACATTGGATAGATATTTTGGCCGGTTGTTGTATAATGAAATTAGTAGGTAACAGAAACGTCTTGCTTGTAGATTGATGAACTAAATCTGAAATTGATAGTCCACCACATGGTGCAGATCTCTCATTTGATCTGAGTACAGGATCATACTTGGATTAAACCAGGGATATTGCCAGAGGAGAGCAAATATTTTTTTTTTAATATATTTTATTGATTTTTTTTTACAGAGAAGAAGGGAGAGAGAGAGCTAGAAACGTCGATGAGAGAGAAACATCGACCAGCTGCCTCTTGCACACCCCCTACGGGGATATGCCCGCAACCAATGTACATGCCCTTGACTGGAATCAAACCTGGGACTTTTCAGTCCACAGACCGATGCTCTACCACTGAGCCAAACCGGTTTCAGCAGGAAACATGTTTTAATGTATTGGTAGCATTATTATGTGACTTGGAAGGTCATTTTTTGAGAGTAGCCTTTAAAGGCATTCTCTAGGACAACGGTGGGAAATGTCCGGCCCATGGACCGTGTAAGACCTTTGAAATCATTCGGTCTTGCTCTTCTAAGGCATTAGGGGTGAGTTAATGAAATGTTTGACCAAATATAGCAGGCTCGTTTTTAAGTCGATAATCTTGCATGGCCCGAGAATGATGTTATAAATATCCCAATGGCCGTTGGCAGAAAAAAGGTTCCCCACCCCTGCTCTAGGACTTATTTTATCATTTCCTCATTGTCTCCCCTCTTTACTTGAACAAAACCACTAGTTCAGAGAGAAAAAAAATGGGCACCCATTGATCCGAGTCCAAAGGAAAAGCCCTATGTTATAAACCTTCCCAGAGCTTCGCCATAAATCCCAAAAGCTGGAGCTCAGAAATAGAACAAAACAGCGTCTATCGAGGGGGCAGGCGGGATCACTTGGCATGTGCTCAGATGCCCCCTGTCCCTTTTGCTCCTCTCCCTTTGTTCACACCTAGTTCCAAGCGTTCATTGTCTTCCCCCCGCCCCTCTTCCTGCCTTTGTTTTTGACAGCAAGAGCGAATTTCATACACACCTCCCGAGAGCCCGGTGCCCAGCTACGCCTCCTCGACTCCACTTCATGTTCCAGTGCCCAGAGCGCTCAGGATGGAGGAAGACTCGATCCGCCTGCCCGCGCACCTGCGTGAGTGTTGCGCCCGGGGCGGGGACAGACAGAGGGACGCGGGGTCAGGACGATGGTCTGCGTGGAGCTGAGGGGCAGGGCTTCACGCTGGAGAGGGACCAGCTGAGAGTGATTTCACACAACGTCACCCCCCCGGCCAGAATGGCTCTGAAGACCCTGAGACTCCTGTCCCGTGCTCCTCTGTCCGGCTCTGTGATGCGTTACCCACGCCCCTGGGAGTGGGCGCTCCATGTGGCAGATCCACTAACTCTCCTAAGAGGCGAGATGGATTCTTGGGGGCAGTCAGTCTGTCTTTCTACATTCACACTAACTCACACCCTTTTAATATTTTGTTCTACACTCACAATAACTCCCCTTTAAGTTTTGTTCAACTTGTGAGTCGGAACCTCTCCCTGCTTTGCTTTTGAAGCTGTGTCCTTTTCCTGGCTTCACAGGGCCCCAGCTCCTGCCTTTCCGCTGCTGGCTGCTCTTCTTCCTTGGATCTTATGTGCCTGGACACAGCTTCTCTCTCCTCCTTTCTCCGGCTCCCCTCTCTTCCCCCTCTTGTGCCTGCATTACCTCCGTAGCTTCAGCCAGTTTGCGATATTTCTCCCAGTCATCTCTCGAATCGCCTCCACCCCTGTCCTGGATCTTCAGCAGCATCTTGGCAGGGCGTCGGGGCCCACACACGTGCTGCCGGGACTGGCTCCAAGCAGCCGGCACCTGTCATTTCCTCCTTTGTCTTTCCTGTGCCACCATCCAGCCCAGAGACAAGGTGATGGGGGCAACTGGGGAGAATGGATCACCTGACTCCCACCCTGGTCACGGTGTCCAAGAAAATGCCAGGTTCTCTGGCTTAAATGCTATCCCGAGGGCCCAGGTCCAGGTGATGGAGGACACTGGGGGTCACCTTGGCCCAGTCTGAGTTAGTTCCCTAATAACTTACGTGGAGGCTTGATTGGGCCTGCCACCGCTCTCTGGCATGGCGCTGCTCCCCAGGTCATTCTCCTCTCGTTCCATCTGTCCTGAGGAGCCCCCAGGCTGCCTGTGAAGGTGGAGAACAATAGGGGACGGAGGACACAGGCTTCTCTTTTCTCTTCCTGTGACAATTCAGGGAATCGGGTGATTGCAGTGCTGGGAGGTGCTGGTAGGGGAACATTGCCGGTAACCCCTTCTCCACCACAGGAAGGATGGGTGCCGGGCTTGTGGACCATGAGAATCAGGGACCAGGAGGATTCTCCCCCTCTCCCAGCTTGCTGTGTCCACCACTATTTACAAAGTTGCTCCATGTTAGGGTCAGCACATCCCAGCTTCACTTAGGCAAGGAGGTAAAGGCATAGCTCCACTCTGCTATCCTCTCCACAGTGCCCTTTCACAGACCAGATCCGGGCTGTGCAGGTGCCAAGGTCATGGCTGCGGGCACTGCTGCCCTTGGTGAACCAAGGGCCTTGGCACCATGGCAGCAGACAGGATGGCAAAAGAAAACACATCCAGGTAATAGCATCTTTTCTTCTACGAGCTTCCCTGTGACTAATATATTCACTTCAGGATGGAAAATACTCGTGCCATGCAGGCCAAACACTCCTCCTACCAGATCTCACTCATTTCTTCATCCAACTAATAGTTATCGATTACTTGCACTGTACCAGGGACCTCCTGGATGCTGGGGATACAGAAACGAACAAAGCAGACCAAGCTCCGTGCCAGGTGCAGAGAGAAAAGAATTATGAACGCTTGTCCCAAACGTGCTGCTGTTTCTTTTGTAGCTTCTTATTCCTTTGACATATTTCTCCAAGGAGGCCCCAATTCCTGGTTCGTTTCTGGATGCCCTTGCATATGTCAGTTCTTTGACCATAGAACTGCCTCTCCATAGGAAGTTATGGTAAAACAAAAGAAACCTACACCAAACTGGCAGTCTGGAGACCATAATTCCTAACTAGTTCTGCTGTTAAATCAGCTGGTTGATTGTGATCAGTCATTGTTAATACCCAGTTTTCCTATCATACTGCATTGTGACCAGACAAGAGAATGTTAGTCCTCTTCCAGATATTATGATTCTCACCTAAGGAATCATTATTCCTAAGTGAACTGTTTTTTCCACCAACATTTTACTTTTATCAGGAGTAGACAGTTTTCTCAGTTAGCCAAGGCTTACACTGTTTGGCTAGATCCTCCTGTGGTAATCACACGATCGCAGGATCACAATAGCTCACAGTACCAGGCACTGTGTGAAGTCCTTTATGTAAGTTATCTTGTTTAATTCTCACAGTAATACTTGTAAGGTCAATATTCTTTTTATATCCATGTCACCCATGAGGAATTTAGGGCTTAGAGAACTGAAGCAACTTGACAAGGTCGCACAGTTCGTAAGAGATAAAGTCAGGATTCAAACTCAATTCTGTCTGACTCCAAAGCTTACGTTCTTATCTGATATGTTTCCATGTGTGTTTAATAAATACTCTTTGGATGGATGGATGGATGGATGAATGGATGGATTCAGAGTTGGCACTTAGTCATTATTCACTGATGGGGCCATAGCGTTGGTTTATGGCTGGAATCTGTTCTTAGGATCAGATGGTTAGATTCTATAGTGTAGCAATCAGACTGTAGAATCTAACAATCTGTTTTGAGTGATTCAGTATTCTGACTGAGGACTGTGGTCAATCAGTTATTGAATGGTTTGCTCCATTAGATGAGTGAGTAGGTTGGAGGGTGTGTGGATGGATCCCCCACATAGATAACTATGAAATACAGGACTGTATCATATTGCTGCCAACCTTAGAATTGATTTAGTTGTTAGGTTATGGATTTGGTCAGGTGATGATTTTGCCTCAATGCCTCCTCTCAGGCAACCCGACTTCAGGGGCCTCCTTGTCAGTCTGCTTGAGCCCCATTGTGACACCACAAGGTCTGACATCTGGAATGAATCCTCGGAAAGTGGAGGTTCCCAGGCTTTTGTTGTTTGTCTGCAGCTGGGGCTTTCCACACGAGGCTGCAGTGCCCCCCTCCCTCTCCTGTTCCAGGACTCCGCCGCCCAGTGTGCTGTTTGAGAAACCTCCTGGAGCCCCTAGGAGGGTTGAGGCCATGCCGTATACTTAGAGATGCATCCCGGCTGAGTTTCCAAACCTAAAAGAAAATAAATATTCTAACAAGGGAGTTGGGTTATTGCTGTTTTAATCTGGGATTCCAGACAATTCCCAGTGGAATGCTCATGGAAAGTACGGGGAAGAATCTGGAAGCCAAGACAGCAGCAGGACATTTATGGTATTACGAGGTTGAAAGCTTTTTTAACTGCTTGTTTTAAAGAGATACTCACCAGGCTGGTGTGCCTCAAAGTGGCTTCTTTTCATCATTTATCCCCATGGATCTACAGATAAGCCCTCTTTCTTAATTCTTCCTTTTTTTTCCATTCACTCTTAAATAAATATATATCCTTTCCTGGTTGGAAGGAGGGCAGGGATCATAGTATTTAAGATTCTCTTACTGAGGGTGTCTCCCCGTTTTGTTCTGCAAACACAGGGCTGTCCTCAAACTGAAGACACAGCGTGACAGATTAGCAAGCTATTGAGAAGTAGAAAGTAATGCCTTTCCTTTTATTTGCCTGTGACAAATGGAGCCCCGTTAAGTGATGACTGTAATGGCCTTGAAAGGGGCAACTGGGCCTCAGAAAGGGCTGGAGAGCCAAGAGGAGAAGGGCCAGCCCCATGCCATCCTGGTCTGGCTTCCTCACTCCCCAAATGGGCCGGTGGGTGCCCTACAGCAGCCCCTCAGCAGGTTCCGGAACCTTCCCTGTTCCATCAGAAGAGCAAACACACATACATGTTTACTGAGAAGATAGGAAACACTTCTTTGTTTTCTCTTTCTTCCACAAAGGGTGCTGAATTTTTTTTTAAGCTTGAGGATAGATGACTTCAAGTGCAACCATTATAGCAGGTAGAGTAAACCAAAAAGCCCCATTCTTTAAAGGGGACATAAGCCTTCTATCACACTTTAAAAACACTTAAAAGGACCAAAGACCCTCTCAGTTCCTTGACAAGATCACTCTCGATTTTCAAGGCAGTGAAGGGCTGTGGCTTGGAGCAAGAGATGCCTTTTTTGATTCTTACAAGGGCCCTCATGATGTGAGGGAGAGACTTTTTCTCGTTTGTCTGCCCAGAGAGCACTTTTTTTCTAAATTCATGGAGCAGTGAGCACTGAGGGCACAGCACAGGGTGCCTCATGAGGCGGTGCCAGCCCCGTGACACACTCGGCCTCAAACAGTGGTTCAGCACTGCTCCTGTGATCACAATTAGGTAGTTCAGCATGATGGGGCAGAATCTAAATAAATAAATGCATTTTTTCTTTATTCTAAATTCCTTGTCCATCATCATTTCACATTTAGTTGCTATAATTGCATCTATCCACATAATCGCCATTTGCCCAAAGACTTTGTATCCTGGGATGCCAGGTTGGCCTTCTAAAATCCCTGTGAGTTGGTATTTAAATATCGTAGCCTATGAGCCATTCATCATATTTAATAGGGTTACGGTTTATGATGTTGCGGGTTAATAAATAGCCGTAATAGCCACTGGGAGTTTTCTAGTCAGAACACCAGAAATAGTCCCTTGGCTTCGCTGCCTTTCCTTGTGAATCTTTTAAAATTCTTGCTTTACTCCTCCTACGTGTGCGTGTTTAATAATTTAATTTAATGCCTTCCTCTGGAAACAGTACCTCTCCCCTGCTCACCCACTTGGCGATTTCGCCTTCTCAGCAGAGGAACCGAGTGGAAGACAGCCACGCGACGGACGAAGCTATATTAGAACCAGGGCGGTAAAAAGAGATGCAGTGTCTCTCATTTCTAATCAGCTGGAGCCGCCAACACTTTTATCTGCTTTCCCGTTATTTTTGTTCCCGATGAAGAGGCCAAAATGGAAACCCAGTGTAATCATAGTGCATATTTTATATTGTTATGCATAACAGAATGCATTCACATATACGTACTATCTCATTTACTCAAGCAACAGTCCCTGAAGTGGGTGTTA